CGCACGCCGCTCAGGGCCGCCGTGCTGGCAAACTGCGTCCGCGTGGCGTTTCTGACGCTCGGCGTACTCGGCGACGAGCGGGCGGCGGGCGCGACGACGGCGCGGCCCTACATCCCGGGGACGGGGCCCAAGCGTGGCGATGGGCAGCCGGCGTGGTGATTCGCTCGCAGAATACCTCAGACAGTACGGCCTCCCTTAAGTCCGGCGCCGCTCGCCTCGCGGCGACCCGTCCAGTGTCGCGGTCGAGCTGTGCGCTCCAGGCATGTACGTAAAAGGCCAGTCAATTTTCCAAAAAGGAAGAACAGGCACCAACGCGCATCAACGCGCGCGCATCCGCCGCGCCCGCCCTCAGCCCTTGACAGAGTACCGTATGCCTCCAGCAGCGCAGCGAAAGCTTGCTGCGCCTCGCAGTCACTCGCACCCCCGACCCCCACGCCCCAGCCCTACACTCAGCGCCCCCCCGCCGGCGCGCCTATCCCCCCGCCCGCGCGCCTATGTGCTGAACCGACTTACACCAGGGCAATGCTGCCTATCCGTGCCGTCCCCATTGTCGCCACCGTCTCCCACGCATTCTGCGCCGGATCGTACCGCTCGACTGAGCTGAGGAGGCCGTCATCGGATTCGCCGCCCACAGCATACAACTTGCCGTCGAGCACCGCCACGCCGAGCTTATTCCGCGCCTCTGCCATCGGCGCCACCGCCTCCCACGCATCCAGCGCCGGATCGTACCGCTCCACCGAGCTGAGGTAGCCGTCGCCGTTCTCCCCGCCAACAGCGTACAGCTTGCCGTCGAGCACCGCCACGCCGGGATTATGACTCACCGCCTCCACAGGCGCCACCTCCTCCCACGCGTTCGTCGCGGGATCGTACCGCTCGACCGAGCTGAGGGTGAAATCAGGGTCGATGAAGCCTCCCACAGCGTACAGCGTGCCGTCGAGCACCGCGACGGCGTGAGCATATCGCGCCGTTGCCATCGGCGCCACCGCCTCCCACGACTTCGTAGTCAGGTCGTACCGCTCCACCAGGTTGGCCGTTGCGCCGTCAGCCTCACTCACGCCGCCCGCCACGTAGAGCTTGCCATCGAGCCCCGCCATGCCTGCATACCTTCGTGCCGTTGGCATCGGCGCCACAGCCTCCTCCTCCCACTCATTCGTTGACGCGTCGTACCGCTCCTTCGAGCTGATGAGGCGTCCAGCGGTCACGACCAGGCGCGGCCTCTCGCGCTTCTTCAGCGTCTCCTTCCAGCCGCGGCGCCACGCGCGGCACGTCCCCTTGGCGGCGTGCTCCTTGGTCGGCAGCTGGGCGAGGATGTGCGGGGCGAGGTCCGGCGAGAGGAGGACCTCGGAGAGCACCCACTCGGGCTGCTCCACGAGCCGCGCGGCGTGCTCCTCTGCCACGCGCAGCGCGGCGTCGCTCGCGCCCGCCTGCGCCTCGATGATGGCGCACAGCTGCGCTGGCGACAGGCCCGCGACGCGCGCGCCGATGCGGTGGGAGGCCATCGTCGGGACGAGTAGCGGGAGGATTCGCTCGCAAGGTGTGCGGGATTAGTTCGGCGCGAGCCTGTGCGTACTCAATGAGCGTGCAACCTTAGGAAACGATTTCTTTGTTACTCGATTGGGATTCCGCGGCTACGCCGTGCCTCCTCATGAGCATCCCGCGCAGCCTCCCGTCGGACAGCGAGGTCGAGGCCCTCGACAACGCAACCTCTCAGAGCCTCCGCCACCGCCTCTCCCAGCACTGGCGCACCTTCCGCTTTTCACAATACGGGAGACAGACAAAAGAGCGAGCGAGAGTCGAGAGAGCGACGGAGAGAGGTATCTCTTATCTGGCAGCGTGGCACCGCGCGGCCAGCACGCGCATGTATGATGTGTACCGAGACGACTTCTATAGACTATAGCCCGATCCTCACGCCTTCCGCTGTGCATATGTGGTCTTCATTGATCCACGGGCCTCGCGCAGGCAGTGCCAAGCTTATGAGCGCTCCCGCCCCCGGATCCACCCTTACTATTCTCAATCCTGGCCGCGCGTGCCCAGCTGCCAGCTCACTGACCAGTACACGGGGAAGAAGATGCCGTCCGAGAAGCAGCTTCTCGCCAGGCAGGGCACAAGGCCGCGGAAAAAGGCGCGCTCCCCACCCGTTCGAAAGAGTTGGCGCGCAATGTCCGCGGCGCCTTCCCAGCCGAAGGGCTGCGCCGCCATGCGCGTGCGCACCACATCGAGCGGGTAGATGGCAGCCCACGAGGAGACACCCGAGAGAGACCCGGCTCCCACAAGCTTGAGCGCCTGTGTCGCGCCGTCGCCGCTGTCGCCGCCGTCGCCGCCGCCGCCCTCGGCAAAGTTGACGGTGAGCCAGCGGTTCCCGCCAAAGTAGATTGCGCCCGAGACCAGGTCCATCACCACGCACACGCCGATGCCGCGGTATAGGCCGCGAAAGCCGGAACGGCGGACGACAGTTTGCACAACCTCTAGCGGGCCCGAAAAGGCGCGGCCCTCATGCCGCACCTGCAGCAGAATCTTGATGCGATCGCAGGGGTGCAGATAAACTGCGCCGAGCGCACACGTGACTGAGCCGGCGACGGCACACTCTCCCAGCGTCGGCGTTGCTGGCTCGTCGCACAGTGCCCGCAAGACAGCGCTCAGACAGCCAAAGCTCAGCGCCGAGCGGACCGTGGAGGCTGCGAGCGGCACGCTCAGCCCTCGCCAGAATGCCGACAGTCCCTCAGCCGCGAGGATGCTGCGAAAGGCGGCTACCGCGCCTGGGAACGAGCCGACCTGCATCCGCACGCGCAGCGTATCGAGCGGGTGCGTCAGGAACGTGCTGGCCGCGCCTGCACAGGCGCCAGCCGTAAGCTCGTTCCGCGCGCTCTGATGGCTGGACGACGGCGCCATATCCTCGAATTGGTGGCGAGAGAGATAGGATTCCTACCCGGTAGCGGCCGGCCGAGCTTTTCGCGGGCGGTGAAGCCTGCCCGCCCGGGCGCAACAAAATTTCTTTTTTGCAAAAGAGGGCGGCCTACGCTGAAATCTCCCCGCGGGCGGGAGCCCATCGCACCGCCAGGTGGAAGAGAGAGAGAGAGGTAGTGGGCTCTGAAAAAAAAGTGGGGGGTGTGAGACTGCGTCACAAAGTCAAAGAGTGAAGAGACTACCATCCGTTTGTATTATTAATTAACAGCGAAGGTGCTCAAATCTCGCCGACCCGACAGGCACGCGACACAGGTGAGACCTCGAATGCATGGCGGCAAATTGATGTTTAAAGCACACGACTCACTGTGAAGCAGGCGTCAAGGCTGAATAATAACGTTAAACATGGTCGCAGAAGCGAACCGACGAGACCCTGCCGCAGCTGCCCCTGCCGCAGCTGCCCCTGCCGCAGCTGCCCCTGGCGGCGTCCGCGTCCTCGCCCCCCACGTCGGTCGCCACTGCGGGCTCTGCAACGCTGACGACAGTGGCGGCAGTGGAGACCACTGATCGCCGCGGCGTGCCACCACTGGACGCCCCCGTCCCGCACGACCGCGCGGCGCTGCGCTGGAGGGCGGGCGAGCGGCGCGTCGAGCGCTCCTCCAGGACGGTCCTCGCCCACAAGTTGAATTGCGACAGCGAGCCGTAGCTCGACTCGATGACGGCGAGAAAGTGGTGGCGGTCGGCCGGGAGCACGCAGCGCGCCTGCTGCGCGTCAAAGGCGGCGAGGGACTCCGAGACGGTCTGCAGCCCCTCCTCGGTGGCGCAGGCGGCGATGGGCACCACTGTGATGGCCTCGCGCCTGCCTCCCATCTTGAGGTAGGCAAATAGCTCCATGACGCACCACAGGCGCGAGGCATACGTCGGCCCAGCGAGAATGAGGAGTGATCTGCAGCCAGCAATAAAGATGGGAAGGCAGGGGAGGGCGCGAGTGATGTCGTCCTGGTCCAAGCAGGCCTTGTCGAACCAGAGCCTCGGCGTCCGGCCGTGCCGGTCCTCGAAGGTGCTGGCCCACGCCTTCAACGCCTCCCACTTTGCGGCAGGCGGGTCGTGCCAGCTGTGGCTGATGAAGCAGTCCACCTCGCCTAGCCCGCACCGCTCCGTGCGCTCGGCAAAGTCCGCGGCGCCCGCCTTTGGCCCGACCGGTGACGGGCATGCCGCGGAGCCCTCGCGCCGGCTGGACGGCGCGGAGTTTGCGCCGCCGCGCGAGCACTCCGCCAGATCCTCAAAGCAGAGGCGGTCGAATCGGATGCAGCGGAACTCGGCCTCCGCCACATGGAGGAGCTCCTTCTGCGTCATGCGGCGGCGAAACGAGCAGAGCGACGCGAGCAGCGCCGCCTCCCGCTCCTCCTTGGTTGACCCGAGCCGCCCGAGCGCCGCGAGCGCATGGCCGCGAAGCCAAGGGCTGAGCAAGAAGAGAGAGGAGCCGACGAGGGAGGCGCCGGCCGCCATGATGGGCAGGAAGGATGGATGGTGCCGGTACGGCTTCTCAAGCCGCGCCGCCCGCAGGCCAAAGTAGCCCAGCACGAGCAGGCCGAGGATGCCGAGCACCAGCCGCGCGCTCGCGAGCAGAACGGCGAGCTGCTGTCGGGGTGGCAGCGTGCGAGCGGTGAGCGCGTACGCGGTGAGCGCCGCTCCGGCGAGGCCGATGACGGACTGCGCGGCGTAGTACCAGCACAGGCCAGCGGGGTCTGAAAGCGCGACCGTCGAAAACGAGCGGGCGACCCACGGGCCGTAGAGCGCCAGGCCGAGGCAGCCGATCAGGAAGAGCGCGCAGCCAACGCGAATCTCCTGCACGTCCGTTGGGCGAAGCGAGAGGAAGAAGAGCGGGATCGCCGGGATCGCGATGCAAACTAGGGAGATGGGGTTTACGTGCGCGAGACGAGTGGGCCAGTAGCCGCCGTCCGCCGAGTACATCAGCCACGGAGTGACGCCCCAGACGATGCACGTCGCTGCCAGGGCGAGGACCGCCTCCTTGGCATCGGCAGCGAGCCTCCGGTTCTGCCTCGTCGCACCCCGCAGCCGCTTCCGCACCGCCTCGCTCCGGCGCAGCTTGCTGTAGGCCGCCGCCCGCCCGGTTGCTGGCGCTCGCAGCGAGGCGCGCTGGCTCTGAGCGTCGTCAAAGGTGGCCGTCTCCTCCGCGACGCGCCGGTGGCAGCGGCGGACGAGGACGAGGACGAGGAGCGTCAACGAGAAGCCGCCGCAGCCAGCCAGGTACGCGACGAACAGTGGCGTCGCCCGACGCACCGCTGCCTCGTCGGCAAGCGCGTAGTCAGAAGCGTAGTCGGGCGACATCTCGGCAGAGCGCTCGCAGAGGCAGTGGAAGCGCCACTCGCACGGCTGATCTCGCTGCTTACCCGACGGTCCTTGCACGGTGGCGCAGTCCTCGTCCACTCGCCTGTTGTTTGGCTGCCCGAAGGCCCAATTGCGGTAGCCTGGGTCGCAGCGCAGCGCAGACGGCTTCCACCCAGCCTCGGCGCCCTGGTCGGTCGGGTACTGGTGCAGCCCGAACCAGGCAACGTAGGTCTCTGTCTCAAGCAAGAGGCTGGCGGCGGCGGCGGTGTCGCTGTCGCTGTCTATGCACGCAAGGGCGCCACCGGCAGCCACGCACTCTGCGGCGCAGCCGGCGTGCGACTGAGCTGTGACAGTGATGAAGTAGGAGGAGTTGCTCGAGTGAGGAGGCTCCGTGCTGGCCTGCGCTGTGCCGGCCAGCGCTGCCACGAGCGAGAAGGCTGACATTGCCCAGCGCGCCCGCTGCGCCGCTGCCAAGGTGGAAGCGTGAGAATGATGATTACACGGCGTCTTGGACTTATTTCTTTTTTTATTACCTGTTTTTCCCGGCCACTCATGCTGAAATTCTGCAAAAACCTTCAGCCGGGCCCTGCCACCCCTTTGGCCTGTACTGGAACTGCTGTGTGAGCGCACTTTCTTTTCTTCTTTGGACAGGCAACCGCACTCGTGTGTTCTTCTAAAGCTCCACCTTGTCCTCATCCTCCACCTCCTCCATCTCACTCGTCTCGCGTGGCTCCTCCCCGCGGTCCTCCGCCGCCGGCGCCGCGCCCGCGCCGCCGTCGCCCTTCCCGAAGCCGCCGAGGTTGATGCCGTCGAGCATCTTCTCCATCTTCTTGAGCTCCTCTGTCGACTGGCTCGCTCCGCCGGCGAAGCTCATCCCCTTGGCCGCGAGCTTCTCGAGGATCCTTCGCCTCTCGGGGTCCTTCTCCGCGCTAAAGTCGCCGCGCATCTGCCGCATCATGTCCTCGTACTTGCCGCCGGGACCAAAGTCGCCGCCGAGGCCCTCCAAGCCAGGCATGCCAGAGCCCTTCGGCTTCTTGTACTTCTTATCCGGGTACTTTTCCCAGTACCTAGGTAGGCATTGCGCGGCGTCACGCATCCTCGCGGGCGCGCCGCGCGGACCGCAGCGTGCGGTGGCAGCGGCTACTTGCGCATCACGCCCTCCTTGTACGCCTTGGCCTTGAGCGCGTCCTTGGACAGGCCCTTGTAGCTAACGCCAACGTCGTCGAAGATCTCCTTGAGCTCTGCGGCGGCGGAGGTGGAGGAGCGGGTGGGTGTTTTTGCTCTCACGCTGCGAGTAGGACACTCGCAGCGCTGCGAGAGGAGCGCTGGAAGCACGCACGTCGAGTCGTCTTCATCTTGATGGCCTTCTGCTCCTCCTCCTTCTCGGCCTGCGTGCGCGCCGTCGAGGGAGCGAGCAGCAGCAGAACGCAGAGCCACAGCAGCGCCATGGGGGGGCAGACGGAAGAGCGCAGGGCGATGACTGCCACGTCAACTGGACAGCGGAAAAAAGAATTTCAATGCACGAAAAAGTAAAAAAGAGGGCGGGGGGACACAGAACTCACGAATTGACATCCCACCCCGCGCCGGGGGCGGTGGCGCGCGCGAGCGCCGGAGTACTTTGGACCCGCAGCCTGGCAGGCGCCAGGCCACAGACCCGCCGGCAGAGCCTTGTGCCGCATCCGCGATCCGCGCCGGCTCTCAGAAGAGATCCGGCGCGAGGTTTCAGAGGGCCTCGTGTTGATCCCAGCCATCAACAAGAGGAACACGACTGGCTACAAGTGCGTAACGTTCCACCCCGGCAATAAGAAGTTCGAGGCGAAGGTGCTGGATGGAGGCAAGCGTGTCCACCTCGGCTCCTTCGAAACCGCCGAAGAGGCGGCCACCGCCTACGCTCGCTCGGCGTACGGCCGCGCCGACGCCGCCAAGCTGCTGCAGCCCCGCTCTGCTCCCACTGCCACTGCCGCTGAGGCGATACGGCAGGCGGCGAGGGAGGGCCTAACTCTGGCTACGAGCAGCGGCAGCAACACCGGCTACAAAGGCGTCTACTACCACCCGAAGCAGCGAGGCAGCAAGAATTACAAGCTGGAGGTGACGGTTGGAGGCAAGCGTGTCTTCCTCGGCTGGTTCGCCACCGCCGAGCAGGCGGCGCTCTTCTACGCCCGCAGGGAGGCGGGCAAGGACACAGGCGATCTCACCGCGCCGCCGCCACCGCCGCCTCTGCCGCTGCCCACCTCTGTCGCTGGCGCCGAGGCTGTCCGGCAGACAAAGAGGGAGGGCCTTACGCTGGCTACAAGCAGTGGCAGCAGCAGCGGCTACAGGGACGTGACCTTCCACCCGAAGGCGCGAGTCGGCAAGAAGTACATGCTGAGGGTAATGATTGGCGGCAACCGGCAAGCGTCTTGACCTCGGCTACTTCGCCACCGCCGAGGAGGAGGAAGGCTTCGACCCGGCGGACATTGCCGCTGCCGTCTCTCTCGGGATGCTTGCGTCCTAGCCTCCAACAACGCCTCCCCGGCGCAGAGGGGCCCCCGAGGGATGCTCAACTGCTCCACGCCACGCCGTTTGCGGCGGTCCTATTCCCAGCTCAGCTGGAGCCGGCTTGCGTTCTTCGAATTATTTTTACGCCTTGCCCACAAATAAATGAATAGAGCAGGCATCTCCAGGAGAGATGGGCCCGGCTCCAAGGAGTTGTTGTAAGCTTGTAACCAGTGTCGTGCGAGGCAGTTATGTTCTAGAATTCTTTCGACGGTCGGCCGTCAGAAAGCACGCCTGCGTGGATCGCGTCACACCAATCCTCGCTATACCCAACTCGGCCAAAGGGGGAGAGAATTGTGTATCGCGCGCCTTGCGGGGTGGGGGGGGGGGGGGGGGGCGCTAGAGAGGTCTTAGCGCCATATCTCGTCGTGCGCGCGCCAGTCCCGTAAAAAAGGAAATGAAATAAAAGTGACAGCGCAGGGGAGGGCGCCAACTGTAAACCATTTACGAGCCACCAGCGCCACGCCCCTCGTCCCGTGGCCTCCCACGCCCACCCCGCCCACGCCCACCCCGCCCGCCGCGCCCGCCGCGCCCCCCTCGCCCCCCTCGCCCCCCCCGCCCACCGACCGCCGCCGTGGCGCCCACGGGCTGAGCCTGGGGCGCGGTGCGCGAGGGCGGCTGTTGGACAAACGTCGTCTGCGCTGCCACGAGCCGCCCAATTGCGGCGATGGGCAGCGCCGGCTGGCGGCAGGCCGGGCAGTTGCTGTCGCGCTCCAGCACGCGCGGCGCACACGCCTCGCAGTACAGCGCATGGCCGCACGCGAAGCGGACCGAGCGCGGCGCGTCCCAGCAGAGGTCACACAGGCGCTCCTCGGCCCCAGCCGTCTCCTCCACCTCCCCCGCCGCTTCGACGAGCGCCTCCAGCCGCGGCAGCGCCTCTGCGAGCGGCATCCGCTTCTTCTTCTTCATGAGAGCCAGCCCGACCACCAGCCGCGTCAGCTCCTCGGCCTGCGCCGCCGACCAGCCCGCGTCGGCCGCCGCGACGCTCTCCGCCGTGTCGGGCTCCTCCAGCGCATCGTCGCACTCGTCGAGGAGGCCGACGGCGCCGCGGCCAGTCAGGCTGACGAGCAACGTGATGCCGAGCGCGTAGCCGTCGGTCAGCGCTGACGCCTGCCCGCTCTGCGAGATGATCGGGTCCATGTACCCTAGCTTGCCGAAGAGGCGCTGCGTCGAGAGGTGCGACACCTGCTGGTTGCCGCCGGCCGTCGCCTCTGCCGCGCGCGCGAGGCCCACGTCGGCGAGGTAGCCGTTGCCGCGCTCGTCGAGCAGGATGTTGCCCGCCGAGACGTCACGGTGCAGGATCATGGGTGAGCGCGTGTGCAAGTAGTGCAGAGCGCTCGCGGCGTCGCGCAACACGCGGAGCCGTGCGGCAGAGGAGAGCGGCGGAAGTGGCGTCTCGAAGCCGAGCATGCGGAGCCGCTGCAGTGCGGCTGGAGCGCGGTAGAGGCGGTCCTCGAGGCTGCCGCCGCGGCAGAGGGGGTAGACGAGGCACGCTCTCGCCGGTGCCAAGCAGACGCCGATGAGAGGAAGCAAGGACGGGTGGCACGCCGCGCTGAGCGTGCGCACCTCGCTCTGCAGCTCGGCGAGGCCTTGGGCGCCGACACCGACCAGCGTCGTCTTGACGGCGAACCCGCAAGTGACGCGCGGGAGCGACGGCAGCGCGTCGGCGCGGTAGACGCGCCCAAAGCCGCCCTCGCCCACCTTGCGCGCCTCGGCAAAGCCGTCGGTCGCCGCGATGAGATCGCCGAGAGGGACGGCGGCGGGCGGCGCGGCGGCGGCGGCGAGGGCGGCGACACTCGACGCCGCCTCCGCTGCCGCCGCTGCCTCCGCTGCCGCCTCCGCCTCCGCTGCCACCGCCGCCGCCTCCGCTGCCGCCGCCTCTTGAGCCTCCGCCGCCGCCACTGCCGCCACTGCCGCCTCTACAGCCGCCGCCTCCGCCGCCGCCTCCGCCGCTGCCACCTCCTTTGCCTCCGCCTCCGCCTCCGCCCTCATCCTCGCCTCCTCCCTCTCCCTTGCCGCCTCCTCCCTCGCCCTCGCCTCTGCCTCCTCCCTTACGCGCGACGCCGCCTCCGCCTCCTCCGCCGCCCGCGCCGCCGCAGCCTCTGCTACCACCCGATCCGCTTCCTCCGCCACTCGCGCCTCCTCCGCCGCCCGCGCCTCCTCCTCCGCTGCACGCTCCGCCGCCGCCGCCTGCCTCGCCGCAGCCTTCTCCTCCTTCTGCCGCTGCCGCTTCAGCGCCCTGGCCTCGCGGGCCTTTCGCTCCGCCAGCTCGTCGCGCAGCCGCTGCGCCGCCCGCAGCGCCTCCGAGCCGTCGGCGCCTTCGGTGTTTGCGTTGATCGCCGCCCTGAGCGCCTCGAGATCGGCGTCGCCTCGCTCGCACGCCTCAACCGCCTCGCGCAGCGCAGCCTCGGCAGCATCGCGCGCCTCCACCGCCTCCGCTGCCGCTGCCGCCTCGCGTGCGGCCGCCGCGGCCTGTTCGGCTGATTCTGCGACCGCCGTCTTCCCCTCAGCCTCTGCTGCGGTCGACGAGTGCTCCTCGAAGGCGCGCACGCACTCGGCGTGGCCGTTCTCCTTGGCGCACTGAAACGCCGTCTTGCCGTGAGAAGTAGGCGCCGCGTCTGCGCCCGCCCGCAGCAAGCGCCGAACGACGGCAGAATGGCCGAATATGGCGGCGGCCATCAGCGCGGTGCCGCCGTCGCTGTTCTGCAGGTTGACCTCCGCGCCGCGCCGAATCAGCAGCTCGACCACCCGCTCGTGGCCGTTGATGGCAGCCATCATCAGCGCGGGGACGCCGTCGCTGTTCTGCAGGTTGACGTCAGCCCCGCGCTGCAGCAGCACGTCGACCAACCGCTCGTGGCCGTGGAGGGCGGCGGGCATCAGTGCGGTGATGCCGTTGCTATCCTGTAGGCTGATGTCCGCGCCGTGCTGCAACAACAGCTCGAACACCCGCTCGTGGCCGTTGTTGGCGGCGCTCATCAGCAGCGTCATGCCGCTGACGCCGTCTCTCTCGTGCTTCGCGTCGGCCCGCCCGCCGCCCTCGAGCCACGCCAGCACCGCCTCCTCCTCGCCACGCTCCACCGCTGCCACGACCGCATAGGGGGCTGCCGCGGCACCGCTCGGCGCCCGCCCCGCCGCCGCCGCTGGAGATGGCGTCTTCGCGACTCTCGATCCAGCCGAGGAAACGCCGCCGCCGCCTGCGCCTTCGCCGCCGGCTGCCGTCGCCGCGGGCCGTCCCGCCACGACCGACTCCTTGACGTGCTGCCGGAACGCCTCGACGCACTCGGTGCTGCCCTCCTCCTTGGCCCACTGAAGCGCCGTCTTACCGCTCGCACTGCGCGCCGCGGTGTCTGCGCCCGCCCGCAGCAAGCGCCGCACGACGGCGGGGCGGTTCAAGAGGGCGGCGGCCATCAGCGCGGTGTGGCCGTCGTCGTCCTGCAAGTTGATCTCCGCGCCGTGCCGTATCAGCAACTCGACCACCCGCTCGTGGCCGCTGTTGGCGGCGTGCATCAGCGCGGTGCCGCCGTCGCTGTCCTGCAGGTTGATCTCAGCGCCGCGCCGGAGCAGCAGCTCGACCACCCGCTCGTGGCCGTAGAAGGCGGCACCCATCAGCAGGGTGAGGCCGTTAGTCTCGCATCTCTCGTACGTCGCGTTGACCCGCCCGCCGCCCTCGAGCCACGCCAGCACCGCCTCCTCCTCGCCACGCTCCGCTGCTGCGCTGACCGCATCGGGGGCTGCCGCGGCACCGCTCGACGCCCGCTCCGCCACAGCCGGCGACAGATTACCGGGCCGCACCCGCACGCTCTCGCCGCCGCCCTCGAGCGCCACAGCGTACCGCCCGCCCTCGAAGCTCTGAGCCACGCCCCGCTGCCCGTTCAGCTCGGGGCGGGAAGAGAGGCCGCCGAGCACGACGCGCTGGCCGAGCAGCGGTGCGTCCACAGCTGCCGCTGCCGCGCCCGAGGAAGCGCCGCCCGCCCCTACCCGGCCCTCCGCCGCCGCCGCCGCCTCGACCAAAACCTTGACGCACTCGGCGTGGCCCATCTCCTTGGCATACTGCAGCGCCGTCTTGCCGTCAACAGTGCGCGCCGTCGCATCTGCGCCAGCCCGCAGCAAGCGCCGCACGATGGCGGGGTGGTTGAAGAGGGCGGCGAACACCAGCGCGGCGCCGCCTTTGCTGTTCTGCAGGTTGATCTCCGCGCCGTGCCGTATCAGCAAGTCGACCACCCGCTCGTGGCCGCTGGCGGCGGCGTACATCAGCGCGGTGCCACCGACGCTGTCCTGCAGGTTGACCGCTGCGCCGTGCCGCATCAGCAGCTCAACCACCCGCTCGTGGCCGCAGTTGGCGGCGCCCATCAGCAGCGTGATGCCGCTCACCTCGCCTACCTCGTACGTCTCGTCGACCCGCCCTCCGCCCTCGATCCACTCCAGCACCGCCGCCTCCTCGCCTCGCTCCACCGCTGCCACGACCTCGTCGGAGACTGCCACGACACCGCTCGGCGCCTGCCCTGCCGCAGCCGGCGACAGATTACCCGGCCGCACCCGCACGCTCTCGCCGCCGCCCTCGAGCGCCACAGCGTACCGGCCGCCCTCGAAGCTCCCCGCCACGCCCCGCTGCCCGTTCAGCTCGGGGCGGGAAGAGAGGCCGCCGAGCACGACGCGCTGCCCGAGCAGCGGCGCCCCGGCAGGATCGCTGATGGGCTTACGACCGCGAAGCAGCATTTGCTGAGTGGCGGTTTTTTTCTTTTTTTGGTGTCTATTCTCTGTCGGGCAGGTGCGCTTCTCTCTGTGGTGGTGGTGGTGCTGCTGCTGCTGGTGGTGGTGGTGCAGATGCTGCTGCTGGTGCGGCGCGGCTCTCCGACGCGACTCGAGGCGCGCGTAGTGGCAATCTGACGCGGCGGGCGGCGTTGCGGGCGGCAGCGGTGGGGGCTCGCGGGTGGAGGTGGAGGCTGGAGGCTGTGGTGGACCTTTGAGTTTATTTCATGATGGACTACGAGGACTAGTGATGCTGCTCCTGATGCACCACCCCCCCCTTCTCTCTCCTCTCTCTCTCTCTCTCTCTCTCTCTCTCTCTCTCTCTCTCTCTCTCTCTCTCTCTCTCTCTCTCTCTCTCTCTCTCTCTCTGCTCTCTCTCTCTCGGCTCTCTCGGCTCTCTCTCTCTCTCTCTCTCTCTCTCTCTCTCTCTCTCTCTCTCTCGGCTCTCTCTCTCTCTCTCTCTCTCTCTCTCTCTCTCTCTCTCTTCTCTCTCTCGGGTCTCTCTCTCTCTCTCCCTCTCCCTCTCTCTCTCTCTCTCTCTCTCTCTCTCTCTCTCTCTCTCTCTCTCTCTCTCTCTCTCTCTCTCTCTCTCTCTCTCTCTCTCTCTCTCTCTCTCTCCCCCGGGCCAGCTGCACGCACGCTCGGTGACATCTCTTCACCTTCACACTGGTCGAGTCATAGGTGACGCGAGGGCGCTCACTTGATTGATTAATTCACTCATTAATTCCTTAATTGCGTACCGTATTCCGGGTAATCTTAATTATTAATCATCGGGCGGGGCGCGGCGCGGCGGCTGCGCGAGGCGGCGGCGCGGCGCATCGGCGGGCGGCGCGGAGCGGGGCGGCGCGACCATCTGTACTGACCCGGTCTCTGGCCGTTGATGCAGCGCAATGGTCGCGCCGCCCTCGACTCAAGGGGCTGCCTTCCACACGTCGCTGCTCAGGCCGGGGGAGGGGGGGAGACCTCCTGTTCCTCGCGGAACGGGAGCAGGCCCCTCCTTGCCCGGTCTGCGAAGCAGGGCGGTGGTCGTGCCATCTCCGCTTCACAACGACCACGCCGCAATCGTCGCCGGCGCGCGACACGTTTCCGTTGGCGGAACTGTCCTGGTCGAGAGTGTGTGCCGCCGAGGCGGGACCACTCGGGGACAGTGCCGACGGGACGCGGCTCGAAGGGTGTGGCTCCGCAGCGCGGCTGGCACTCGTCGCAGAGGCCTCACCTTCGAAAAGTCGGGCATGGCTCCACCCGCAACTTTCTCGCTAACACGCGCGCACCGCCGAGCCTGCGGCGGGCGCGCTGCGGCCGCACGTCTACCTTCGTCATAGTGCCACGACGTGCGGCCTAGATTTAGCCCACGCGCCTCTGCTCGCAAACACTCACCCATTGAATTGTCACTGCCCGTGAGTGCGAGATAGGGCTAGCAGTAGGCAGCTAGCCTCTGAGGAGGGCGTCCATAGACACCTCACATGACCCCCACACACGGTCTCGTCCGTGCCTCGCCGGCCGGCGAGATTGCTAGAGGTGGAGCAAGCCTGCTCTAGCCTCGCATATTACCTCCTGTCGTCTGTTGTGATGTTGTGCCCTTGTTTGTTTCTCTTGGCACCTTGGAGTGCTGGGGGGGGCGACAGGAGGAATGTGGCCCTGAGTGATGTGTACGCCTACTCAGGGTGTGTGGCAGCCAGCTGGCTGTGTGTCTTGTGAGCCTGTTTGTGTCTGTGTGTCGCTCGTGCGTGTCGTCATCATCTGTCTAGCGTCCACCCATACCGCGTTGGTGTCCAGTCCGAGCCTGGCTGTTCTTCACCTTTCTACCTACCTACCTATTCTCTAGGAGTTCTAGAGGTTCTCGAGGTCACTCCACTGCGCGCGCCTGTCACCGAGGCCCCTCCACCTTCACTACTCGCTGCCTACTCGCTGCCTCGAGGGAGGAGGGGAAGACGTCGGGTTGAGCTGGACTCGCCTGCACCGAGGCCCCTCCCCGAAAGGCAAGTATTAGCCACACGAAACCCGAGACCCCTCCCCCCCGCCCCGATCCCCCCACCCCCTTGCTCCCCCTCCCCCCCTCGGGAGGGCCGAACTGAGGCGCCCGTGGGGACCCCGCAATTCCCTTCCCCCCTCGGAGGGCCGGACTGAGGCGTCGAGGGCCCCGCTCTTTCCCTCGCATATCTCCGGGGGAGAGAGAGATTTTTAGCAATACCAAACAAATGTGTTGTCCCGGGGGATGCCCCGCGCGCCTGACCCAGGCGCGAAAACGAATCTGCGAGGCGTGGCCGCTCACGCGGCCCGATGGGGAGGAGCGGGGCGAACTACGGGGATCGGCTTCTTACACAGGTCACAGCCCTTCCCTGCAGCGACCCCCCCTCCAACCCACCCGCGCTAGGTCTCGGGGGACGCAGGGGTCACTCCCGACGACCTCGCTCGGGAACTAGCCGGGGCAGTCGGAGAAGGGGCAACTCCGTGCACTGACGGTCGGCCGTCAGAAAACACGCACGCCTCCGTGGCTCGGGTTACACCAATCCTCGCTACCCAACGCGGCCAAAGGATATCCACCTCGAAAACCTCTCGGGAGGTGGGGTGATCTGACTTTGCCGAGTACACACACACACACACACACACTCGACTTTGCCGCAGAGGCCGTCACGCCTTGAACAGCCGGGGCAGGAGCGCTGTGGAGTTTTCTCGTTCAGCCACGCTCGCCGCGCTGCCCAACGCCGTCGCACCTGCCTGTCGTCGCCGCCGGAGCCCGATGGCGGACGCGCCGGCTGCCGAGCCGGCCGAGGAGGACGTCATCGTCGACCCGTGGACCGTCTCTGGCAACATCAACTACGACAAGCTGATTGAGCAGTTTGGCTCGCAGCCGCTCACACCCGCGCTGATTGAAAAGTTCGAGCGTGTGACGGGCCGGACGGCGCACACGTGGATCCGGCGTGGCATCTTCTTCTCGCACCGCGACCTCGACGCAATCCTGGACAACCACGCCGCCGGCAAGCCCATGTACCTGTACACGGGGCGAGGGCCGTCCTCCGAGTCGCTGCACCTCGGCCACCTCATCCCGTTCCACTTCACAAAGTACCTGCAGGACGTGTTCCGGTGCCCGCTGGTCATCCAGATGACGGACGACGAGAAGTTCCTGTGGAAGGACCTGCAGCTCGACGAGTGCCACCGACTCGCCGCCGAGAATGCCAAGGACATCATCGCCTGCGGCTTTGACATCACTCGCACCTTCATCTTCTCGGACCTCGACTACATCGGCTCGATGTACCCAAACATCGTGCGGACCCGCACCCTGGCCCCGCCGAGCCGCGCGCGCGCGCGCGTCGGCCCTCACGGCGCGCATCTCCCGGGTGCGGGCAGGTGCGCATCCAAAAGGCGGTGACGTACAACCAGGTCCGCGGCATCTTTGGCTTTGACGACTCGTGCAACATCGGCAAGCACGCCTTCCCGGCGGTGCAGGCGCGGACTCGGGTCGGTCTGGGTGCGGGGAGGAGGAGGGGGGGGGGGGGGGGGGCAGCGCCAGCGGGCTGAGCTCGAGACGGGTCGCCTCGCAGTGCTGCTGGCTCGTGCGGGCGGGTGAGCATGCGCACGATGGAGCAGGGCTGTGGGATACGTTGCGGGTGCCGCATGTGCTCTGGATATCCCAAATTTGGGGACGCCAAATCGGTTGCCACGGTGTCCATAAAACCTCGCGGCGATGAAAACCACCCATCCCCCAACACTACGCCCGCACGCCCACGGCCGCAGAGGCATGGAAGACGAGCTTCCTGGCGTCTCCACAGCCTGCAGCCAGCGCTCACTTTTGGTGCACACCTGCCCAGAAGAATTTTATTCGCGCACTCTCTGAGCCATTTCCCCCAGTAATCACATGCCGGAAAGACCACTCGGAAAGACACCTCGCAGCGCGCGATACGTGACCGGAGCGGTACGCCTCGGCGCCGCGAGAGCAGCCGGTCGGCGTGGGCACCAAGCGCGGCCGCCGGGCGCCTTCGCACCGACGAAGAAAGAAAAAGAAAGAACGCTGAAGCCAAGGGAGGGATGGGAGGACGGCACGCCGCCACCACACAGGGATTTCACTGGAAGGAAGGTGTGTTGCTCTAGCCGTCGCCCACCCTTGGGCGTCTGCCTCTCCTCGCACCGACGGAGGTTGGAGCCTAGAAATTCTTTTTGTGGCGATGTCCACCCCGCCGCGCCGCCGCTCGCGCCGCCTCGCCTCCGCCGCCGCCGCCGCCCCCTCGCCAGACACGCCGCCGCCCGCCCGGCTCCTCGACCTCCCCAGGGAGCTCCTCGAGCGCGTCCTCTCTCGCTGCGACAGCCCCCTCGACATCGCTCGCGTCGCGGCCGTCTCGCTGCTCTTCCACGCCTCGCTTGCGGAGGAGGGCATCCGCTTGTGGGCGCAAGAGCGCGGCTTCGAGCTGCCGGCGCAGCCAGAGGGCGAGCGTTGCGTCGTGCAGTGGCTGTGCTTCGCTGCGCTGCTTTGCGAGTCCAACCCGCCGGTGAGGGCGGCGGGAAGCGAACGGCACAGCCTCGTGAAGAAGTGAGTGCTCGTGAGAGAGTGATCTTTATCGCTTGTTGAAACACGTTGTTAGCCGCTTGGAGCATGGAGATGGACGATGGAGGCACTTGGACTTGCAGGTCCGCTGCGCACCGCACGGTCGGCACGCTGTGGAGCACGATGGGAGACGGTGTTTGCGCTGGCAGGGTCCTAAAAAAGGTTCCTTTTTGGGTTCGGCGGAGGAGCTGGGGTCGGCGGAGCTGCGCTTGGAGCAGCGCGGCGGCTCCACGGGCGCATCGGCGATCGAGCGGCGGCGGGCGAGCACGGCGTCCAGGGACCCGGGCGCTGAGGCGGGACTAGGTCCAGCCCTGGGTGGCGCAGGTTGTGACATTTGGCGATTCCGCGACTTACTGGGCCCCTGAGCCGCTACCCGTGTGCGATTTTTTGTGGCCCGGACATGATACTGATAGTAAACGGGTCAGAACCGGCCAAACACAGGCTACAGCCCCACACACGCGCCCGCCATAGCTCCTGGAGAGCATGCGCGAGTGACGCGCTGCAAGCCGCGAGAGTGGCATCAGAGGCAGGAACGACGTGCTCTTGCTGCACCTCGCAGCTGCACCAAGTGTGCTCGCAGTGTATGCCACGGCCACTGCCTGCGGCATTGCTCTCGTGCAGCTAGGCGATGCAGGTCCATCAGCAGGGCTCATCCAATGCGAGCGCACATTGTGCGTAGCCGCGGGCAGGTGGCAGTGCACAGCCGCACACCGGCTGTGGCGGCTCGAATGCCCCCGGCAGTGCTGCTAGTCATCAACTTGCGTATTAGGGCCGCAGCAGACTGCTGCTGTGGCAGCAGCAGCAGCCTGCTGCTGCCTGATTCAGTCAAGCCAGCGGTGCAGCGAGGCGTGCAGAATTCGCGCGGTTTTGTCCCTCCTGAGGCTGAGCGCATTCGAGCCCGTCGACCGGAGTTGGATGGTACCACGCGTCTCACTGAGACGCGGGGTACTGGCCATGGCCGGGCTACGGAGCGTGAGGTGGCGAGCGGCTGGCGAGTAGAGGCACACGCACGCTCTCCCGAGGTCTCTCGGAGCAGAGCCCCGCGAGTCCTCGAAAGAGCGGCGTGCGCGTCAGTATCAACAGGCGCGCGGTGTGGAAAGCAAACCTGGCGATAGGTTTCAATAGGTTCAATACAAGTCCGCCGACTAAATGATTTTCGACCGACCGCAGGGAAACGCAGGGGCGCCCCCCCCCGACCGAGCTGCGAAACAACGGCGTCCACACCGGCCGCCGCTCGACAACCAAAATTTTCTTCGGCGCTGCGCGCCGTTGCAGTCGAGTGTATGTCTGTGTATGTTGCAGCCCAGCTATCGTGCCGCACAATAGGTCTATGTGGTTAGAAAAAATGCCCTCGAAAGCGCCCGCCGGTGTGTGTCCAAAGATGTAGCGCTACAAGTTGGGGACGCATCCGACACACGGGCAGGTTTTCGCGCTTAGCAGCTGGCCAACGGTGATGACGCCGTCGCGTCACCGACGGCTCGTGCTTGCGTATGATAGCAACCCCTTGTCCGACGGCAGCGTCCTCGCGTCCGCCTCCGCCCGCGCGGCATCATCATTGTCCGCCTACACCACTGCGGCCGCGGCCGCACCCGCGGTGGCAGGGTTTCACACGCGCCCAGGCGCAGGTGCAGCAGCAGCCAGTGCAGCAGCAGCAGCTAGTGCAGCAGCGCGTGATCACGCTTGCACACGCGATGGGCGGTCGTCATGTGCTGCAGGATGGGTCACTTTGGACGCGTCCCATCGGAAGGCCGCCGCTTCCACCCGGCTCCCCGAGAAGGCACAGCGAGGCGCGGTGCAATCAGTGGAAGCACCATCGGATCAAAAAGAACGCCGATGCTGCCCTACAGGCTGCACAGACAGTGCTAGCTCTTTATAGCGAGGCGACCAGGCGCGAGATGTTCACTCTCGCGCCACATCCCTACAACGGGGTGCATTGTACCCACTTGCACGCCGGCACGAGCGCGACGCCGCAGTGGGGCAAACGGGGCATCTGGGGCTAGCTCAGCTATGAGCATCACCTCTGCCGCTTCTCGCCATCCCCGAGGAGCAGCGCGCCCGAAGCAGGTGAGTCACGGCCGCTAGGTACAGCGAGCGCGGCGGGCCAGAAGCGAGAAGGGAACGAAGGAGAAAATCAGCAGATTCCGATGGCGGAGGCTCGGCATGCTCCTGCCGTCGCGGTGCTAGACAGCAAGCTATACGCTGTGGGAGGCTTCAGCAACGGCGACGACGACGGCCTCCTCAGCTCGGTCGAGCGGTACGACCCGGCGTTGGATGCGTGGCAGGCGGTGGCGCCGATGGCGGCGGAGCGGAGCGAACATGGCGTGGCGGTGCTCGACGGCAAGCTGTACGCCGTGGGCGGCTTTGGCGACGACGGCGGCCTCAGCTCGGTCGAGCAGTACGATCCCGCGACGAACGCGTGGGAGGCGGTGGCGTCGATGGTGACACCACGCGAGAACCACGCCGTGGCGGTGCTCGACGGCAAGCTGTACGCTGTGGGAGGCTACAATGGTGGCTACCTCACCTCGGTGGAACGGTACGATCCCGCGACGGACGCGTGGGAGGCGGTGGCGCCGATGGCGACGGCACGGTATAATCACGCCGTGGCGGCGCTCGACGGCAAGTTGTATGTCGCAGGCGGATTGGGTGCCGGCTATAACCGCCTCAGCTCGGTGGAGCGGTACGACCCGGCGTTGGGTGCGTGGGAGGCGGTGGCGCCGATGGCGGCGGCGCGGGTCCTCGCTGTCTTTCTTTAGACGGCTCTGTTAGACTGTTTTTCTCTCCCGTAGAGCGTAGTTGTTAGATGACCCTCTGTTCTTAGACTACTATTAGACACACTGTTTCGCGGAAAATAATAAATATATAAAGGGGAGTAAATTGGAAGGCGAACCATACACAGTCCGACCAACGACTGGGACACCCTACGTGCTACGAGGCACTCTCATCTCTCTGTCTCTCACAGACTGTTTTTGATATTGCCTCGATTTTGTTTTTGTTTTCCATCGACCCCGACTCAGAGGCGGCGGGCGGGCGCCCACTCACCGTCACCCAGAGATCAAAAACGCTCGGCCCAGGGAAGAACGAGCTCCGCGCGGCGCGCGAGGCGGTGTGTGTACATGCATGCCGCTCCCTCTCTGAACTCTGCGCTCTCATCGCCACAGCTCTCGCGTCGGCGGCTCATGCGGCGATGGCCTCCTTGTCCGCGGGCGGGCCGATCGAGTCCTTGATCTTGTCTGGGATGTGGCTCGGGTCCCAGATGTTGTTTGAGATGTCCTCCTCGATGGCAGCCTTCCACTCCGGGTTCTTCTCGAGGATCGAGGCGATCGTGAGCGTGTCGATCTGCGGGTGGGGAGGCGGGGTGAGAGGAGCCGGGTCAAGGAGGGGGGGG